AGCTTGTGACCGTTATTTCTTGTCACTCCTGGTAGTGCTCGGGGGAACAGGGACTCTCCCAATGCCTGCTGGTCCCCCCTGACTAGTTTGTAAACAGCCACTAGATCCCCCCTCAGCCTTCTCTTGTGGAGGCTGAACAGGTTCAGGTCCTGTAGCCTCTCCTCGTAGGTCCTGCCCCGCTGCCCCCTGATCATGCGAGTGGCCCTCCTCTGGACTTTCTCCATGTTGTCCACATCCCTCCTGACGTGCAGCGCCCAAAACTGGATGCTGTACTCCAACTGCAACCTGACCAGTGTCGCATAGAGGGGGAGGATCACCTCCTTGGACCTGCTTGAGATGCATCTGTGGATGCATGACAAGGTGCGGTTGGCCTTCCTGACCGCGTCCCCACACTGTCGGCCCATGTTCATTTTGGCATCAATAATGACTCCAAGATCCCTTTCTGCCTCTGCACTGACAAGAAGAGAGCTCCCCAACCTGTAGGTATGCTGCTGGTTCTTCCCCCCTAGGTGCAGTACCTTGCACTTGTCAGTGTTGAAACCCATCCTGTTCTCATCTGCCCCCACCCCTGTAACCTGTTCAGGTCCGATTGCAGCCTATTCCTCCCTTCTAGCATGCCCACTTCTCCCCACATCTTAGTGTCGTCTGTGAATTTGAACAGGGTGCTTTCTACCCCCTCGTCCAAGTCACTGATGAAGATGTTGAACAGTGTGGGCCCAAGGACCGAGTCCTGCAGAACCCCACTGCCCACATCCCTCCAGATCGAATAAGACCCGTCCACCACCACTCTCTAGGTGTGGCCCTCCAGCTAATTAGTGACCCATCCAACTGTGTAAGTATTGACACCACAGTCTCCTAGTTTTTTAATGAGAATGGGGTGAGAGACAGTGTCAAAGGCCTTCCTAAAGTCCAGAAAGACAGTCAGAAGGCAATAGATAGAATCATACAATCATAGAAAATTAGAGTTGGAAGGGACCTCAGAAGGTCATCTAGTCCAACCCACTACTCGAGGCACGACCATCCCCAACTAGATTATCTCAGCCAAACCTTTGTCTAGCCGGGTCTTAAATTCTACAACCCTGATTCACACTGAGTATTTTTACACATTCTTTTATACACAGATGCACTCCTTCACACTCCATGGCCTGTTGTCAGCAAAAAGCACCTGGGACTGCACAGAGACAATTTTGTCAATGACCTCTAAGTTGGATCATAGCAAGGTTCACTGCTGCATCTCAGTTTTATAAAATGAAATAAAATAATGAGTTTGTATTAGATATTAAGAAGAATTTCTCTTTAGAAGGGAGACTCCACAACCTTCCTGGGTAACCTGTTCCATTGTTTTACTAGCCTTCTGGTGAGAAAAGTCTTCCTAATATCTAACCTAACTTCCCTTGCTGCAACTTGAAACCGTTGCTCCTTTTCCTGTTATCAGGCACCACTGAGAACAGTCTATCTCCATCCTATTTTGAACCCCACTTCAGGTATTGGAAGGCTATTATTAAATCCCCTCCACATCTCCTATTCTCTAAACTAAACAAGCCTGGTTCCCTCAGTCTTTCCTCATAAGTCATGTGCCACCAGCCCCTTCACCATTTTTGTTGCCCTCTGATGGACTCCCTCCAGTTTGTCCACATCCTTTCTGTAGTGGGGGGCTCAAAACTGAACACAGTACTCCAAATGTGGCCTCACCAGTGCTGAATAGAGGGGGGAAATCACTTCCCTTGACCTCCTGGCCACACTCCTACAAATGCAGCCCAGTATGCTGTTAGCGTTCTTGGCAACAAGGGCACACTGTTGGCTCAAATTCAGCTTAATGTCCACTTTGCACTTGTCCTTGTTGAACCTCATGAGCTTGCTTTTGGCCCAACCCTCCAATTTGTCTAGGTCAGTCTGAATCCTAGACCTACCCTCCAGTGTATCTATTACTCCCCCCAGCTTGGTGTTATCTGCAAACTTGCTGAGGGTGCACTCTATGCCATCTTCTCGGTCGTTGATGAAGACATTGAACAAAACTGGCCCCAGGACCAACCCCTGTGGCACTCCACTTGATACTGGCTGCCAAGTAGACATCAAGGCATTGATTATTACCCTCTGAGCCCCATCCTCCAGCCAGTTTTCTATCCACCTTACAGCCCACTCATCCAGCCTGTAGTTACTTAGTTTGCCTGCTAGAATGTCATGGGAGATGTTATCAAAAGCCTTGCTAAAATCAAGGTATACAACATGCACTGATCTCCCTGCATCCACAGAGCCAGTCACCCCATCATAGAATGCAATCAGGTTGGTCAGGCATGACTTGACCTTGATGAATCCACACTGACTGTTCCTAACCACCTTCTTCTCCTCCCACTGCTTAGAAATGGGTTATCAACATACTAGTAGAAACCATTTTTGTTATCCTTTTCATCCCTTGCTTGCTGCAATTTCAATTGTGCTTTGACCTTCCTGACTTCATCCCTGCATGCCCAAACAATGCTCTTATATATTTCCTAGTTATTTGTCCAAATTTCCACTCCTTATATGCTTCCTTTTTGTGATTAATTTACTGAAAAGTTCCCTGCTAAGCCAAGCTGGTTTTCTGCCATACTTGCTGGTCTTCCTGCACATCAGGATGGTTTCTTCCTGCACTCTCACTAAGGCTTCTTTAAAGTACAGCAAGCTGTCCTTGACAGCTCTCCCCCTCAGACTGGCTTCCTAGGGGATCCTGCTCATGGGGTCCCTGAGTGAGTCAAAGTCTGCTTTTCTAAAGTCCAGGGTCCTTACTCTCCATCATTCTTTTCTTCAGGCTCCTGAACTCAATCATCTCATGGTCACTGCTGCCCAAGTTGCCATCCACTACTGCATTTCCCCACCAATTCTTCCCTGTTTGTGAGCAGCAGATCAAGAAGAGCATGGCCCTGAGTTGTCTGCTCTGTCACTTGCACCAGGAAGTTTTCCCCAATACTGTCCAAAAAACTTCCTGGATTTCCTGTGCCCTGCCGTATTGCCCTCCCAGCAGATGTCAGGGTGAGTGAAGTCCCCCATGAGAACCAGGACTTGTGATTGGGAAACTTCCACTAGCTGTTTAAAGAAATCCTCATCCACCACTTCTTCTTCATCTGGTGGTGAGGTGATGGGAGTGCCTGGGAATAGGCTGGTTTGCCCCGGGGCAACACAGGGAGGTGGCAGGAGGCTGGCTGGGAGTGCTGGGAGCTGAAGAAGGTGGCGGGGATGGTGCATGGGACACTGGAAGCCCAAGCAGGCTCAGGGAAGTTCAGGCTCAGCAGGCTTCCAGTGCCATGAACCCAGCTGCTCTTCTGCCACCTTCCCACTCTACTCCAAGGACAAGCCAGCCCATTCCTGGGCAGTCCCAGGCAGCAGGGACAGTGCATGGGGCACTGGAAGCCCTGGCAGGCTTGCGGAACAGTTGAATCCAGCCAGGTACTGCCTCCAAAGCAGGGTAGAACCCAGCCTGCCTGGGCAGCCCCAGCGGGTACCACCACCACATAGGGAAGGACCAGGGGCCCCCACAGCTCAGGAGCCACTCAGCCTACTGGTAGCTTGCCCTCTGGCTAAGGGAGAAGCAGGCAGGTGCTACACAGACAAAAAAAAAAAAGGACTGGGCCCCTTGCCTCTTCTATCTTTAGCGGGAGCCTGCAGCCTCCAGGCTCCTGCTAAAGGCAGAAGTGGCAAGGGGCCTGATCCTTTTTTTGGTTTAGCCTGCCTACCTCTCCCTTGGCTAGAGGGTGAATTTTCAGATTAGAGACTGGTAGCAACGGTGGAAACTAAACAACATGGGGATGTGTTGTAGTTTGCAACATTGCAAACTTATTTGAAGCCCCCAAACTTTTCACACATGTAATGTGTGTCACTCATAAGCCACACAAAAGAAATTTTTGTCACATGTACATGGTGATGATCATTATGTGCACATATGCCCTAGCTGATTTTTATATAGCTGGTATGACTTTGTAGAGCTAACAGGAATAACAACCCATTCCTGGAGTCAATAAAGTCACCAGTGCAGGGAACAAATACATTTTGATTAAAAACATTTTGTTTGTTTGTTTGAAGTCACTGTTCTCACCTACCTGCATTTTAATGATTTGGTGTAGAGCATATTGAGCAGTCCAATACATGTACAATCAAAATAGACTCTTCACATTGATTTAAAGACCTGAAAGACCAGGTCTTAGTGTGAGGTTTAGAATTCTGCTAAGGCTGGTCTGTAAAGTTATATCTGAGCCTTTTCTCTCTTTCTCTCTCTCACATACTGTCTCTCTTCCTGTTCTGTTTTGTCCCATGGAAGGTTTTGGTTGGCGGTCCAAGATCTCAAAAAACAACCTCTGCAAGATGTAGCCATCAGAGTGGAGGAAATCTGGCAAGAATTTTTAGCTCCTGGGGCACAAAGTGCCATCAACCTGGACTCACACAGCTATGAGAGAACAAGCCAAAACGTCAAGGACCCGGGGAGGTATACCTATGAAGATGCACAGGTTGGTTTGGGGTTTTTTATTTAACTAAAGCTGCTAGTTTGTCTGTGCTTTCAAATGTTTTACTGCCACATTATACTCCACTGACTTAAAAAGAGAAAGAGAGACACTTGGAAGTGATTTTTGGAGCTTTCCATTCCAGCTCGGCATATGATATTTCTTTGAATCTATCAGCTTTAACAGGCTAATGCTCCTCTGGGAGCAGATGGTCTTAAGCTTACAGATCTGCAAGGAGCATTGAGCTGAAGCAATGGTCCAATCAAAGCAGTTGAAAGGAAATTGTGAAGTTTGGTTAGTCATTCTGGACTTCCTACCCCAAAAGCTTATCACATACAAGAACTGCTATCACATCAACCCTCCCTGATTGATACATATTTATTTTACCATATTTATTTTTAATTAAGAAGCAGCAGCTCCACATGGTGTGACTAGAAACATTTCTGTCAGACCATGCACCTGGAAAACTTGTAGGCTAGTGATCCGTAAGGTGTTTTAATCCCTTCTCATTTAGAGCTCCTGATTCATGAGGGAAAAGTGCAGATAAACTGTAAACAGAAAATGCCTTTAGGCAGGGTTTGAATTATGGGGGAGGTTGGGAGGGAGCTGGGCCCCACCATAATAAATGTGAGCCCCCTGTAACATTTGAAAATCAAACCTGGGGTGGGGGGGGGTGTCCAATTTTATTAGGACATCATGATGGGAAGCCTAATTTTTTTGCAGACCCCGCCCCAAGAGTCAAATTGTAATTCAAGCCCTGCCTTTAGGAAAACGGATAATCTATTAAAAAATTCCTCCAAGTTAGAACAAAACTTCACACCCTTCTAGAAAGTTGACACGTCATTATACATAGGCCAAAATGGACACATGGAATAGGAGATTAGTTAATAAATAAGAACAAAAAATAATTTTAAAATATTTTTTCATAATCAAAGCAAAGTGAAATACAGCAAATACAAAAAAATGACATTTTTTAATAAAAATGGCATTCTAAAGTGATGTTTTAAATGTTGTATTAACATTGATGTATGCTGTGATGTATTTTTGGACCATTCTTGTAATGCTTTTTATATGGTTACATAAAGAGTTGTGTGAAATACTGTGTTCCTTTGAACTTACAGTCTTGATCCTTGGACCCAGGTAAAAAGGGATGTGTTCAAATCCGAATTAGTTTCCTGTCTAGAAAATATAGGCCAAAGCTGTCAGAGACAGGACAAGAGTGAGGTCCAAGTAAATGGATTACAATTTTTAATAGAATTATTGAAAGCAAGACTGACAGCTTGACAATGAACATTTAATCAGTAGAAGATGACAAAAATCTAAACTTGGACTGATCAATTCACAATTTTAAATGCTGACAATAAAACTGAGCGGGAGTTCTTCAGATAAGTTTTAGGTAGGGGCAGGGGCTTCCCTGATAGATTTTATTACAAACAGTTTTTACAGTGTCTGATTGCCCCAGTTTGTCTGTTACATATAATGGAAATAGTCCAATGGCCAAGAACTACAAGGCCACAATGAGAGCTCTGCCTGACTTTCATCCTACTGGAGATCACATCCCGGTCAATGAAAACATTCCAGAGATAAAATTCAGAGGATGTTTGTGGGGAAGATTGGTGCCTATAGATGTGCTCATTCATGTTCTAATTAGAATGTGTTTCAGCAAACTCAATTTGGTGAGTATGCTCCATGTTCTAATTAGAACACTTCAGCATTGCCTCACTGTCATGTGTATTAAGCCCCCATGCATTTTCAAAATGGCCGCAGGGGAACTTTATCTAAGCCTCATCGAGTGAGCTTTAGATAAAGCATCCCACAGCCATTTTGAAATGTGTGGAGGATTAATGCATGTGACAGAGAGCCATTTTAATTAGAGCGGCTGTTCGGGAACTGCTCTAATTAAAATGCCCCCCTCTCCCCGCCCCCCAAGCATGTGTATAGGCAGCTGATATGTCCAAGTTACCTAGCTGTGCACTGAAGAGTCTACAGCCATCATAAAGCCATGCCAGTAATTTCTGAGTCAATTTATAAATTAACAAATGAGGCGACAAACAGAAATAAAAAGAAATATAAAAGCCAGATGCATTTATGGGAAGATAACACAATGACAGCTACCATCACTTCATTCCAAAAAGGATTGTTTCTGGTTGCAATGTCACATTTCATTGGGGCTACATCTGGAGGTGGTTGTTTTAGAGTGGCATGATCTCCCTAGAAGCCCAGCCAGAATAAACTACTCATAACAAAGTACACATTCTCCAAGTAGTATCCTTACATTCTCCACCTGTTCACATGGCGATGACATGGGTGGATTGCAGCACCCTGACGAGTTGTGGGCACCTTTTCCTTTAGCACCATCCTATGAGAACTCACCTATGTCACAATCCTGTGACACCATATGCGGCCAGTGTGGGAGGGAAAATCAAAACACACTAGTGTGGGAGGGAATATCTGAGTGTCTGAATAAAAATACACAAGATAAGAGAGAAAATGCAATGATGTGAGTGTCCTTAGATAAGAGAAATATTCAGTTTACAAAACAGTGCCTTCTTTAACGGCCTACAACTCAGAAATGCTCAGATGTCCTCTCTTCAGTTGAGAATAGAAACACAATACCTGGAGGCACCAGGGCCTGTATACTGAACTGTAAGGCACCACCTTTAAAATTGTTAGGGGCACACAGGAGAAATTAGGAAGGAACAGAAGCATAAGCATAACTGGGATGGAGTAAGAAGGAATATGACAAAGTGTGTTTCAAACCAGTGAACATATGAAGATGAAAAGTTGAAACCATAGCACAGGGGTGGGTAACCTCTGGTATGCATGCTGCAAGTGGCACAGGCAGCCTCTGCATGTAGCATGTGGTAGTCTGGGGAAGGGGCAGGCAATACAGCAGCAGATCAAGCTGGGAGTAGAGCAGCAGATCAAGCAGGGACACAGGGCAAGGGACAGAAAGAGGAGTGGATCAGGCAGGGGAAGGGGAAAGGGGTCACAATGGCACTCATGAAGAACATGAGGCTTAATGTGTGGCATGCCTGCCAAAAAAGAGTTGTCCCTCCCTGCTATAACATACTCTGATATATTTTATGTCACAAATGCCCATGGCATGTTACAGCTGAATGATTCCCTGCCCCAAAGAGCTCAACCAGCCAAGATACAGCCATCAAGAACAATAAGCAAGGATGTAGCAATAGCTTTGCTGAGGAGACTGACATAGAAAGAGCACATGGAAGAAGTGGGTTCTAAACAAAAATGAACCTCAGTTAAAGGCCCTTGATCCCCAGTTTCCCACAGTCTTGAGAGAATCTGGGTTTTGCTAATGAACTGAACTAAAATCTTAAATCCTTGCGTATCAGAAATTTGGAGTATTCAGATTTCCTGTATATAATGAATCTACCCAGTTTGGCGAGCCTATCACTGCTACTCTTATTTAGGGCTGTGCGAAATTTCGCCAGCCATTTCGTTCCGACATTGTTTCAACTAATTTCAAGGTCAAAACAGCAAAATTGGAATGAAACAAAAGCCGTTGAAATAGCCTCGAAACAAAACGAGGCTAGTCAAAACGTTTTGAAAGTCAAAACGTTTCGACCTTAGGCTGGGGATGGGAAGTCAGTCCAGCTGGGCTGACTTCCCATCCCTAGTGCAAGATTCAGCAGGGGACAGGAAGTCAGCCCAGCTGGGTTGACTTCTCATCCCTGGCGTTAGATTGCACTGGAAGCAGCAAGACAGCCCAGCTGAGCTGCTTTCCATCCCCTGCCTCAATCTAGCATGGGGATGGGGAAGTCAGCCCAGCTTGGCTGACTTCCCCATCCCCACCAAAATTTTGAAATAGCGTCAAAACAGCCTTTCCATTTTGACAAAACGGAACAGAACAGCTGTTTCAAATCAAAACAAAATTCGATACAAAACACTGTTCCAGCGAACCATCAAAACTCAAGGCAAAATGGAACGGTGCTGTTCCACACAGCCCTACTCTTCTTACTCCTGTATTCCCCACACTACCATGTATGTATTCACCTGGCCTTGTAGCACCTCTTGCTACTCCAGTCATCATGTCCCAATAGTTTGTTAACTCAAGTCAATTTTGACCAGAATGTGCTGTGCTATTCCACTCCTATGCCCCACCTGCCCATAGTGTTTTGTGGGTGCTCCTCTTTCCTGACCCATTCAACACTTGCTATTGATTCTATCCTGATCCTCAGTACACACAGCCATGTTCATGCTCTTCAATCTCAATATGTAGCACCTACTGTTAGCCTCATTTTAGCCCCTCCAAAGGAGGGACTGCCAATTTAAATGATTATTTTCTGCTCTTGGACAGCTGTCCACTAAGCAAAAGATTATAATGATCAAAACAGTTTTCAGTTGGGACTAAATCAGCTTTTAATATGAGAGCACCATGGGGAAAGGTCAGTTCAATTAAGTCTGTGCACCACTTGCAGGAATTGAAACTCACAACAGTTATCAGCATCATTGAGCAACCAGTGTGACTTCCCAAGATATGAACCACTCAGGACTACCTCCAGAAATAAAAAAGGGTCCACTCCACCCAAATAGCCTCCTTCTACTAATTATGCTGCTGACATCTAAAAGATTTAGATTTAGATTTTAGTTTCTTATATGTGACATTCAGATGGGGTTGTAAATAGAGGGGTAGAGCGGCTTAGTTATGACATACATTAACTGTGCTTGCTTCTGACATTCTCTGTGCTTTTTTTTTTTCAAAACCCCATGTTTTCCAAATTTGTACAAGATTGCTGACCACTTACAATGTCCCTTGCCTTCAGAAAGCTATTAATCTATGTTCCAGTTTTCTAGACCATGGCATTGTAAACCAGTATCACACGAATGCACTGTTTCCTGATAGGAATGCTTGGTTGTAAGATACTTCCTTTGGAGCCAGGCATACTTTAATAAAACATGGTACAAAGTTGCCTTTGAGACTTCTTTCATGGTTTTTAGCAAGGCTTTTTAGCTGTTTGCTTTTCTTTTTCAATAAACCAAAC